AGAAAAAGTTTCGAGTGGCAATGTTTGCGTTCTCTCTTCGTTCGTAACCGGGAATGTCAGTTTTATTTAGAACGGAATTTAGACGAGTTTTGCACGAGTGTACAGAAGTTGTATTAACTGGACGGGTTAATTAGATTTAATTAATTTACACATTTTTGTATTTCAAATTTATTATACATTATTTCTTAAACATTATAATTGCCCATCAAATGAATATAAAATTTTTCTTTTGCATAAGAAAGCAACATAGATTGCAAATACATTAGCTCTTAATATTATGTATATCATGTAGACCTCAAGACTTTTCAGGTAATATTATTAAAATCTTATATCATCAGAATGTTCTATGAGGTGTGAATCGTTTCACAAGATTTTTAAACAAATTGTAAATAAATTTCTCATAATTGCTATAAATTGCAGATAGTTTATATTTAATTAATATCGATGCTTAGCCGTTTTGGAGACATAAGTCTAACTGATGATTAAATCATTGTAAATGAACTATGGAAAAAAAAAATGACGAAATAGAACGAAAAATAACATACAAAAGCCTATAAAAATGATATTGATACTAACAATTTAAAAACTAACTTATTCACAATTATAAAATTATTCATCTTCATGATTCTAAAGTTTCATCGTTACTGAATAAAGATCTGGGCAAAAAGATCCCGGACTATATCTTTCCATCAAATGTATTAAATTTTTCTTTCCATTTGTTCCATTCATGATTGATTGTCAACATTACGCATAATTAAAAAAACTATCGAATATCTCTCGAAACATTAGGAGATATGGGATTTATGGTATCGTTGGAGGTTTCCTCAGCCGCAGAGGAAAAAAAAACGTATTGGTAAACAATAAATCGTGCGGGACCATAATATTTTTCGGAGGAGTTTCATATTTTGATCTATGCTCGACTATTGTTGTGCGATTAGTGAACAACGGGTCACCTAAAATTTCAAGAGGAGATGTTGTCTTGTAGAACCACAACTAACCTCTTCAATCCTGGACCTTAAATCGTTGTATATGATTGCACGATGAGAGAAGAAGATCGTTATCGATGCTCGTTAATTTGTGTTGCGTTTTATTAAGAAAGAACGAGAGAGAAGACTGAGAGAGAAGAGCGAGAAGTGTGTGTGTGTGTGTGTGGGGGAGAGAGAGAGAGAGAGAGAGAGAGAGAGAGAGAGAGAGAGAGGAGAGTAAAAGAAACGTAGAAGGAACTGCGCACAAGACTTTTAATGTGACTGTAAATCTATACCGGTTTTGCCATATGGACGCTTGATTTGTAAAAGGAACCAAACGTTGGCCTTTCTCTCTCTCTCTCTCTCTCTCTCTCTCTCTCTCTCTCTCCATCCGACCCTCTTCGTCATCGCCCTTCCCCGTTCGTAAAATCTCTCTCACTCTCTCCTCTCTTCTTAGCATCTCAAGTGCTTTATGAAGTAAGTTTAGCTGTTTGCCGTGGATAGGAGGTGTATAAAGAGTTGACTTCGCGATATTTTATGTACTGGATGTTAGCGATGTGACCTTCATAATGTTGCGTACAATTATATACGACCGGCGACATTTATTATATATTCGTGGAAAAAGGAATTTTTAAAATCTTTACACCCGAAATTTATCGTACTGTTGGTGTGTGGCATTGAACACGTGGTTAGATATTACTTGCTATTGCGGGAAAATATATGGAGATTAACGAGTTGCCAAATACTAGTTAATAGTAGCTCGCTTTATAATCCATTTGCATTAGATTAATTGAAATCTTATTAATTGCAATATTATTATAATATTCGATGAAATGTGAAATATTGTGATATCGGTGGTTTGGGAGGGCGTTGGAGAGGGGCGGTTGCTTATTTGCTTTAGATGCTAAATCATTCGATTAATAGTTGAAAAGAGTCATCGAGTCATCTAATTTTATTATCCGCGTATAAATCACATTGTCGAATTTTTGAAATTGAAACTTTTACGATCTTCTAATATGGTATAGCCATTGATAAAACAAAGTATTATAAATTTGCATAAATCAATGATAAAATTATTTTCAATATTGTTCTGAACATTCATAAACGGCTTATTTAAATAACACAAGTACATTAGCGTTTTAAAAAATTGAAATTTAATGTTTTTAAACTGTTCTTTTTTTCTCATCTTGTTTTCTATTCTTGTTTCGTATGCCAAGTGGTATTTAATTATAATAATAGGGAACAATAAGCGTCTAGAAATTTGAAAGCCATTATAATTGTCCGCGACAATGTTTTTATTCTATCGAGTAATAATGAATAACATAAATCAGTAATAAATTTAATTTCGCTTTGAATTTAATTACACAGAAATTTTCAATTGATTTGACACTTTTAATGAATAAATCAGATCGAAGTTTATAATTCATAGCTCTTATTATCCCAATCACAATCCTCTTATCGGTTTGTTGCCAAACTATAAATATTCATTACAAGATTAATTTATTTGACGTTTCGAGAAAAAAAAAAATAAACAATATCTATGAATAACTCTCTCGTTAATCTTTTCATTCTAGACAATAAATTTTAATTAACCGCGAATAAAAATGACGGATCCATTGAGTAACATATACCAAGTCGGTTATTGTTTCATTTAATAATATGTAACGATGCATCGATGATGCAGGCGCTTCAAAAATTAATTCTCTTACTGTAGGAATCGCGAGTGTAAATTGAAAATTGTCAAGCTCAAACAATATATCTTAAAATATTTACGTTATCGTATAAAAATACGCAGACAGTAGCTTCGTTAAATGCACTTGTGCATTAATTAAACGACTGTCTTATTGTATTCGCCGTGTGCAATTCTTCCAATCTGCCGGGTAATAAATGGGATGGATGCGTTAGGAGGGCTTAAGCCAAAAATCCTCCCTCACCGCACACTCATCGTTGTCCATGAGTTGGCAGAGGTAGTATTAGTGTATCGATTAAGCGCTCTATCGCAATGACGCATATGAATATCAAAAGGACCGAAAGCAATACGCCTCGCTATTTAATCGTTTAAGTTATATCACAAGCGATAGTGCTTGCAAAGTATCACACCGCCGCTGGATCAGAAAGAAGCCCGACGGGAATTGCATTCGCCCAGGGAATATGACCCATTGTCTTTCGGTGAAAACAAAAGAAAGTCCCTGCTTACTTCTTAGCACTCTTGGTTATATCGAGTATCTTTTGGAAAGAATGGCATCGCCACTTGAATAAATCGAGGTCATCGATCGTGCAGTATTCCTCGTAAAACGTGACTCCAAATTGGCACTTGTGAATCATGACTCACGTGGCTCGCTACTCTCGTGCTTATTCTTAAGCTACGACAACGTAAGCTAAACTTTAATTAATCGCTACGATTCTCACCGTATTGATTCATGCATGATTCGGTTATAAATTGGGCCGAGATTGATGCGATATAAACGAGGAGCGCTTCGAAAATACCTACTCGAAAGTGGAACGTGATCCTTTCTTATTTTCCAACATCTGCCTGCCGTTGTTTCATTTCCCGTCCGAGCATCCGTAGCAACAATTTCTATATTGTTCATCCAAAGTACCATTGTTACTGTTTTGTTTGTTCGGCCACCACGATCCGCCCACCACAATAGGCAGAAGATGTAAGAAGCTCGTTTGGGCGAACGAAAAAAACAAAAACGAAAACAAAAACAAAAAAGAAAATGGATCACGGCATTTGCTCACAGTATTCTCGCACAAAGGTAAATCTATTCCAACAAATTCACATCATCTACGCATCTCTTAATGCGCGTGACACCCTCGCACACTATTGAAACGCATAATAAAAAGCCAATTATCATCAATGCACGCACATACGTCCGATTGCACGAACGTACGACTGCGAAAAGGAGCAAGGGAGAGGTAAGCTTTATTAATTTCACGATTATATAAGAGAATAAAGGAGCCAATGAGCTTATAAGGATTAAAAATAAGAATTAAAGTGAGGGAAGAAATACGGTGCACAAAAGTGTACACG